CAACTCCTACCCTCGCTGCCTTCCTTCGGCAGCTGGGATCGAATTAGCGGGTCAGGGAGTGAAGGAGGGCGACTTCCAGTCAGGATTTGAAGCAAAGCTCCCAGAGAAGGTGGCGCACTCCTGTGATCCCAGCACTGAGGAGGCTGAGGCAGGAGGATTGCCACAAGTTGGAGGCCAGTCTAGGCTTCATAGTGAGCTCCTAGTGAGACCCTATCTCAAAAAAACAAGTAAAGCAAAGAAAAAAGAAGTTCACTGATGGATGAGAAGGAGGTACACATTCTGTTCTAAGGATTGAAGAAATATCTTTAAAATTTTTTTATTTCACCCCTTTCCCCCTCAAGCCCCCCCTACATACAGAAGCTTTGTTGCCATTCTTTCCTTCGATTGTTACTTTTTTCCTTGTCCTTCCCTTCCTTTCTCCCCCGTCCTCCCTAGTTCCCCTTCCCATTTCCCAACATCCACCTTACATCTGTCCTTTTCTTTTTCTTTAAAGCCACTTAGACTCGGGCTCCCCGGTCCCATCCCAGGAAATCCTGCGGTGGATTTGCAGACCCCAGTTTCCGAAGCCGTCAGCATGGTCTCCGGAGCCCTGGGCACCCTGGGAACCCTGCCTGGCGCCCAGCTCACCTCGAGCCGGGCACAGTGGGGACAAGCGTGTCCTTGGAAGGCCAGGGCAGGGGGCGCTGTGTCAGCCCCAAGCTGGCTGAGGACCGGCCGGACCACAGCATCACGAAGCCGGGTGCACTTGGGGCTCCGGGGCTCGTCCCTTGTGATGCTGCCCAGCCTCCACTCTCGGTCACGGGATGACGTGTGAGGCCCCAGCCCGACAGCTCTGTTAGGGCGGGAGCCCCACAGTCCCCAGCGCTGGCCGAGCTCGGGGTCCACAGCTGGCTACCCGCACAAGTGCACCGGCTCCAGGAGGGACCCTGGGAACCGCAGGGGGTGTTACCAGAGGCCTACGGTCCGTCCTGGTCTCCTGGGAGCCAGGGCAGCACGGGGCAAATTAATGAAGTCAGAAAAGAAGACTTAGAGAGGACACTGAGCTTTGGGCCTGATCAGTGCTCCTCCGGGCAGCAAGGAGGGAGGTACCCATCTCCCCACACCTTTATCACCTTTATTCGGTACATGGGGAGCAACAGATGACTCAGAGGACACAGACGACCCCAGAACGATGAGGAGCTGAGGCAGACGGGATCCGAAGTGGAGGAGGAATTCACATTGGTTAGGAATTTGTCCCTCCCCAGGGGAGACTTCTCTCTTACGACTCAGTTCTCAAGGAACCAAGACGTCTTAGGCAGATGTAATCCTGACTTGGAGCTTCACGGCACCACGGGGCCTTTGGGGGCTCAGTGTGACCGGAGGCAGAAATGGAGTTTTGTCTGGACATGCCAAAGCCAGCCTGCAGGCAGGAAAAGGAGCCTACTCGTAATGTAATTGTGAAATGTATATAGAACTGCTCCCCACACCATCCCCGAGAGCCAGCTGCCAATGCCCAAGGTTTAGAGGAGCCCCCTTTGCGGGGCCGAGACCACCAAAACCACACACGCATGGGTGAAGTAAGGCAGCACCATGCTGCCCTGTTTTGGACAGGGCTTGAGTGCAACCCCCACCCCCACCCCAGGGTTCCTGCCCTGAAATCTAATTCCTGCATTAAGAAGGTGCAAACTGACCGGTGCGTTGCTTAGAGGCGGGGCTCTGGGGAGGGGATTACCATAAACTCAAGAGGGTGGGGCCTCTATGATGCAATCCTGGTGGCTTTATAAGAAGACGGAGGAGCTAGGCATGGTGGTGCACACCTGAGATCCTAGCACACAGGAGGCTGAAACAGGAGGATCACTGCAAGTATGAGGCCAGCTTGGGCTCACAGTGAGTTCAAGGCCAGACTGCACTACACAGCTGCACTACATGAGCAACAAACAAAACCAACCAAACAAGCAAAAGCTACAAGATGGAAGGGTGACACAAGTGCATATCCCCTGTCACTTGCCACGTGATGTCTTGTGCGGCCTTGAGGTCCTGCCAATAAGTAGCATTAGATGTGAGCTTTAACCTTGGACCTTCAGAACCAGAATCTGAACAAACCTCTTTTCTTTATAAAGTTACCTACCCCAGGCATTCTGTTATAGCAATGTAAAGCAGACCAATGCAATAGCAACAGGAAACACACATGCCATCCATCCTCCACCATCCCAGAGTTTCACAAAAGTCTCGGGGCCTTTGCTAGGGTCCAGGCACCCGCAAGACCCAGCCACTCTTGATCCTGTCTACAGGGGCCTGCAGAACTCCTGCTTTGCTGCTCCTTGGGGTAGAGGGTGTCGTCTAAGAGCCTGGGAACCCCATGGCTATACCCCCTGGAGGTGTTGCCATCCCACTGCCTCCACGCTGGCTCTTCCCACCTCCTCCCCTCCCCGGAACCCCCGGCTTCTGCTTGCTCCGTCAGAGACTGAAGCATTAATTCCAAAATGGGTGGAGTCTCTTGCTAGAAGCATCTGCTCTCTACCCGGCAAGATAATGGCAGAGAGAGAGAGAGAGAGAGAGAGAGAGAGCGAGCTGGCTTCTGCCGGAAGGTGAGAGGGGGCAATCTGGGGGGACATGCCGTGAATCCAGTGTTGACTCAGGGTGGCATCGACTCCACGGCTGTCCCTCGAGGCTCCAGCATGGTGACAGGTGCTGGGGACACAGGCCAAAAGGCGGTGCCACCTACAGACCCGGGCAAGAGGGCGTGTAGATGGGGTGTTGAGTCTTGGGCCGTTGTGACACTGGGTGGAGACACAAGATGAGAAGCAGGGTGGGGGCTGAAGGCCGCCTGGACTGACCCTCCTGGGCCACCATAGTCCTGCCCAGAATTCCAGAGTCCAGGGATTCTCAAATCAAACAAGGTCTTCTTGGGGATTATAAAGCACATCTGCGGAGGCAGGAGAATAACATTTTGTCTTCCACGCTGATACACGTACACACAGGGGACAAGGGGCTTGGTTTGCATTCCCAAGTTGGACTTTCTAGTCTGCAGAACAGGACAATGCCCCAGGCCAGGAGGCCCTTGGGGACACCCAGGGTGGGGTGTGGCAGAGATTCCGGAAGCTGCCTGCCAGCTGGGCCCGTCCCCACAGCTGTCTCCACCTCTAATCTGGAATGGCAGAGACAGGAAAGGGTAGCAGATGCAACCCATGTAAGGGATGAGGGGGTGCAGGTGGGTTCCCTCAAGTCCCGTCACAAACAGCCCCAGCTTAGGGAAGGGGATGTGCGGGAGGATGAGAGAGGGTATTCATGACCTTCCTGCAGGCCAGGAAGGCTTGGAGCTGGAACTCAGCCCCAGACAGAAGGCACAGCGGTTCTGAGTGTGGGCCCTGGGCCGGAAGCAGCGTCAGCCCGTGGGTGAGCTCGCCAGGACCTGGGTCCTTGTGGGGCAGATGCTGCCGCTCCGTGGGAAGGACAACCCTGGGTGGAAAGGATTCCTCGGCCCCACTTGCATGGCTTGGCAGACTTTTTACTGGAAAGAAAACATTCCTTGAGCCTGCAGGGCCGGAGCAGCGGGCCAAAGCCTTCGTAAGTACCATCGCTTTTTTACCTCCAACAGTCAGGCGAGATGGTGTTTTCTTATTCCTTCACTGCAGAGGTGTTAAATACCCCGGAGAGGCCACCAGGAGGCTGCCTGGGTCTGGGTGACTCTCATACCTCCCCCGTTTCTTCACCACTGCCTCTCAAACTCCCGTATGGAGGATCACAAGTTCAAGCCCAGCCTGGGCAACTCAGGGTCTTAGGAAACCCTAAGGGCTTGGGATGTACCTGAGTCTGAAGGCCCCGGGTTTAACTGCCGGCCTCAGTTTCTCATCGTGTCGACCTGGGATTTGGAGAAGTATATGCCCAGCAGGTCCCCCAATACAGGTGGACGATTTGGGCCCAGGCTCTGAGAGCTGCTGTGGATCGGATCTGGCTTCCTGCCCTACAGCACCCGTGTGAAGCAGGCCGAGTCACAGCCCTTTTCCCACAGGTTGGCTGTGGGCTGCCAGTGAGATAATGAGGTGAAAGAGCTTTGTCAGCTGCGGTGCAGGCCATGGCCCTGGGCCCCTGCCAGCTACCCTGCCCCAGGCTGGTGCCCGGAGTCACGCTGCCCAGTGGGGTGCGGCCATCCGGGCACCTCCCGCCGCACCTAGCGCTCCCTGCCCCAGGCTGGTGCCCGGAGTCACGCTGCCCAGTGGGGTGCGGCCATCCGGGCACCTCCTGCAGCCCACCTAGCTCTGGGTCACTTCTGCTCAGGGGGCAGAGCCAGCTTGAGTCCTCCTCTCTGCCGCAGGCAACACCACCATCACGCTGGCCTCGGGCCACTTGTCCAGGGGCCAGCCCGGGCAGGCCGGGCAGCAGCAAGCCTGTGATTCAGGGCTTGGGCTGGATGCTGTCACTCGCCTCCAGCGCGGGTCTGCCAGCCAACGGCAGCTGCCACTCTGAGCCTTGGGTTTCCCCATCAATAAAAGGGGGGCCATGTGAGTGTCCCGGGATGGTGGAAATGCGAGGGTCAGTCCTTTCACGGCGTTGGCCCAGGGCCGCCCCGGGTCAATGCATGGTAGCTGTTAGTATTTGCAGAAAGCACCAGGCTGTCTCCTGATCCAGGCCCGAACATGGAACGCAACCTGCTCCCACGCCGTTCCCGGCTGCACCCGGATGCCCTAGCCCTGGAATGCGGCGTGGGGCCCTGGCCTGCTGCCCTGAGCTGGGGCTGCCAGGGCCCCGAGGGTCATGGTGCCAGGATGGGGGCAGGGGTCGAACCAGCAGAGAGGGCAGGAGGCGG